GTCAATTATTTTGATGAATTTTATTGTCGTGGAAAATTAAGAATAGTGCCCGGCAATAATCCACTCACCATACTTTTGAGGAGGACACCACCAGTATTTCCCCCTGAACTTTGGAACATGAATGAAATAACAGTTAGTGGGAATGCTCGAACAAACAATATTTGCGAAGGCTGGAACAGTTCTTTTAGGAGTTTAGTGGGCCATTCTAACCCGTCAATTTGGACCTTACTGAGAGCTTTCCAGTTAGACAGATCGATGAATATCAATGCATTTAATCAACTTCAAGAAGGTCGACCAACCTTGAAAAAAACATCTCAACACACAATTAACCATCAACGAAGATTGCGAAACATTTGCAACGATCTGAATAATGAGTTTGTTACCATACCCATAGCTTTACAAGCGATAGGACATACCATACTACTTACAAGAGATTACGATTACATTTAAAAACTCTGTTTTTAATACTTAATTTGCAATGATTTCTCCTGTTTACAATTATACAATGCATCTTTTATTAGTAATTTTATCAATCAATCAAATCAATCAAAATACATTTATGTAGAGCAGTTTCCCAAATTCAATTGCGCTCAAACTAAACTAGCAAAATAAACCACCTTCGTCAAGAAAATAAAATAGGAATAAAAATTGAAATAAAAAAAACACAGCATTTAAAAATACATTAAAGAAAATCATATGATAGAGTAATAACAGTAATAATTTTAGTTTTTAATCGGATTGGGTGATGTTTTTTCCGGGTGAAGTTTTTTCATGGTGATGTTTTATCTGGGTGAATTTTTATCCAGGTGATGTTTTGTCCTCTAACTTTTTTAGGGTGACTTTTTATCCAGGTGATGTTTTTTCCGATTACCCTGACTGACAGGCCCAGTGAAAACAGGCCCTTGGTCGTGCGAAAGCCGATCAGACTCGACGGCCCAGTGAAAACAGGCCAGGGTTGTGCGAAAGCCGACCGACTGACTGACAGGCCCAGTGAAAACAGGCCCTTGGTCGTGCGAAAGCCGATCAGACTCGACGGCCCAGTGAAAACAGGCCAGGGTTGTGCGAAAGCCGACCGACTGACAGACAGGCCCAGTGAAAACAGGCCTTGGGTTCTGTGAAAACGAATCCGCCTCGTTGTTTTGTGCTCTTGTGCTATTTGTGGACCTAGGGTTCTTTGCTGGATTCTATACTCATTGGTATAGTTTCACACGCAGCTTGGAATTTCCATAGGCTCCGATTTTTGTAATTTTTCCACATTCATTTCATTTATTTCTTGGAGTTGTATCGACATCACTATCGGTTACACACGTCGAGGTTGTACGATTAAACGGCAAGAAACATATCCCAAGTCGAAGACCCAACAAGAAGAAGTTCTAATTCCTGTATTCCAGTTTGTTCATTGACATTTACATTATTATATAGTTCATTAGTTCAATTCCTTTTTATTTACTTCCGTCGATTAATAAAATTGTTATCGAATATTTTTCTTTACGCGTTCGTGTGTTACTCAGTAAAATCATATAATTCGAAAAAGCCCAGTGCCACACAGGACTGGTCGAACTCACGTTAAAAATATACACAAAAATTATTGTCGGACCATAAAAAAATTCCCTGGGAAAGATAGAGGAGGAGATTATCTCACACCACCAGTTGATTTAATTGTTTTCATTTATAAATTTTCCGACAATTAGCGCCCAACGTGGGGCTTAGTCATAATTTGAAAATCTCCTTATCATTTATTTTAAAATTTCCGACAATATATATATATATATATATATATATTATTAATAAAGATCACGGCGTTTTTTACAGTACTCAATCTATATGATAGTTTCTCGATTCTTTGAATAATTCTCCAATCTACCAAGCTTAACTTGTTAATGCTATTAACAAAATTCCTATTTACAGAAGATGTCATTATCTACATGTATGCATATAGTACTATTTTGACTACCTAGTCTCGTCAATGCAACATTATAATAAATTTTACATTTTTAAAGTTTTTAAAATTTCAAAATTTTTAAAGTTTGAAAATTACTAAATTTTATATACCCTATATATATCCTTTACAC